TTCCTTTTTCGGCCGATGTCAATCTTTTACTGCCAAAAATGGTGGAAGTTTTAAGATTTCGAGTATTAGTCGCTTCTCGCATAAACCACCCATTCCTCTATTATATCACACCGCGAGTCTCCTATTGTTCCTTTCATTCCATACTACTACCATAACTTTTTAATACACCTTTAAAAGACCTCTATTTCTATAACAATTTTTTTCTTATTTCGACCCATAGAATCTACTGACAAAACCTGGAACACCCTATATACTCCGTGCAACAGTGAACATATTAAATCTCCACGATACCATTAGCCTACCTTGCCTATTAAAAAGAAAAAAAATATATAAATTACAAATCTGTGGCTAAACGATATCTCAATGTGGAAGCGAATTGAAGCACGCGTGAAGGTCGTAGGAAAGGTAGATATTACTAATCCGGCGGTAATTACAATCCTACCGCGGTGGGGGATGAAACGCGGCCTTGAACGATCGATTGATTCTCGTTCGCCTCTAAGCTGTTATTTCTCCCGGCGTGATCAGCTCGGTTGTTGAATTTCCACGGGGCTCACGGCCAGACGGGGCACATTGTCCGCCGTATTAATCGCGCCCGTTTAAGTAGTGAATAATTGAGCGGCATATTTCATCAGGGTACAGCTTAATCGCGATGGGACCGTCTATAATTAATACGGAATTTGCCACCACGGGTGCACGCGTTCCGGTGTCGCGTGCTCCGTGCGCGTTCACTCCGTTGAATTTCACGAGAATTCGCCGGATCCGTATTGTTATCGGCGGATAAAAGTGCACCGCGAACGTTGCGTAATCCGGATAGATTTGCCGTTCTTATCGCGGCGAGGGTGGGTGGACGCGGAGCTCGTTCACAGGTCGACGGTAAAGCGTTGCGTAAGAATCGTCCGGATAAAATTGATTGGCCGTCGCGACGCTGTGAAAATTAAGCGCGTACCCGCTGATAACGAGCTCGTTTCCTTTTTAATATCGCCTTTTATTGCACCGGCTACGACACCGTAAAACCGAGACGTTTCTAGGGAGAGCTTCGTTATGTGGGACAAGGCATTTGTTGCGATACGACAATTAAGTGGCTGGGAATAGAAGATTATTTCTTGGTTAATGAGCAACTCTGCCACAACAGGTAGTTTGATGTTTACAAGTTTTTGTTTATCGTTGGAGAAATGGGTTCTTTAGGGGAATTTTATTTCGACATTTTTAACGATGCTAGGAAATTACGAAGTTTTATTTTTATGATATTTGATAGTTCTTATTATAGAATAAGATATTTCTTCTTGAGAACTGACAATTAAGCGTCTGGGAATAGAAGATAATTTCCTGCTTAACGAAGAAGGTAGTTGGATGTTTGTAAATTTTTATTTATCATTAGGAGAATGTGTTTTTTTAAAGAATTTCAATTCGATTTTTTTTTAATGGTGCTAAGAAATTAGGAAATGTTTGTTTTCAATGATTTTTAATACGTCCTATTAAAAGCTTCGTAATATAGAGTAAGATATTTCTTCTCGAGATACCACAATTCTCTGGAAATAGAAGATAATGTCCTGCTTAACGAAGAATTTATAAATTTTGATTTATTATTGGAGAAATGTGTTTTTTAAAAGAATTTCAATTCGATTTTTTTTTAGTGGTGCTAAGAAATTAGGAAATTTTTGTTTTCAATGATTTTTAATACGTCCTATTAGAAGCTTCGTAATATAGAGTAAGATATTTCTTCTTGAGATACGATAATTGTCTAGGAATAGAAGATAATGTCCTGCTTCATGAAGAATTTATAAATTTTTATTTACTATTGGAGAAATGTGTTTTTTAAAAGAATTTCAATTCGATTTTTTTTTAGTGGTGCTAAGAAATTAGGAAATTTTTGTTTTCAATGATTTTTAATACGTCCTATTAGAAGCTTCGTAATATAGAGTAAGATATTTCTTCTCAAGATACCACAATTCTCTGGAAATAGAAGATAATGTCCTGCTTAACGAAGAATTTATAAATTTTGATTTATCATTAGGAGAATGTGTTTTTTAAAAGAATTTCAATTCGATTTTTTTTTTAACAGTGCCAAGAATTTAGCAAGAATTTTTTTAACGATTTTTAATACTTTCTACTACCTGATTACCCGAATACCAGTATCACACTTGAGAAAACTCAGCGATAATAACATTATTTGAGGATTTGAACCGAAAGAACCGTGAAATATCTGATCGGAAAATTGTCACTCAGAGATGAAGTAACGAAATAACATTTAAGCAGTTTATATCGTAACCAACAACTACTTGAATATTTACCGGTTACATCGCATAAAGAGCTCGAAGGTTCGACGGTGGGCGGACAGATTGATCAGCAGCGTGAAAATGATTTACGACCGTTTCATAACGCAAACCAACCTGAACGAAGCGATATTCGCGGTGTAGGAAAGCACACGCGACCGACGAGAGACGGCGAAATTAAATTCGAAGTAAACTCATATTCACCGGGGGACGAATTTTTATTTATTTAGCGGCGAATAAATGTTCCACTTCGGGAACAACGTTACGCTATTAATCAGAAAGTTGAGCGGGGAGTTTCGTTAAATCCGCGAAAATTCCGATTCAACCGACGCGCCGGGGCTTTTTGATACTTTCCCGCGAAATGAAAATTTTATAACTATCGCGTCGGTAAACCGTGGAAAATTTACAAGAACCAGTTGCAGCTCGCGTTCCGGTCCAATTAAACGGGAACAACGCGAAGGAAGGCGAGTAATTGCGGCTGGTTTCAATATTAACAACGGCGGGGAGGGAATTTTATTTCAAATTTTTCCCGTTGGGAAAACTGTGCTTCGAAGGGAATCGTTAATTCTGTGTAAATAACGGAAGGTATCCGGTCGGAGCAGCGAATTGAACGTTACAGCTTCGACGTTAATCATTTCGTGTAACTCGTTGTCGAACATTCGTCGTGTCACGTTAAATTCGGGAAAAACTAATCGATGCACTCTCTACGTCACGCGTATGCACAAAATAATTCGATTTTGCGAGCTTGCGAGCATTTCTGCGCTGACCAATCTGAGAGATTTGATACTTTTCGTATTATTTCCATAAATAATGAGAACTCTGTTCGAACGATTTATTGAATTTTTTATTTTCTCACTGGAGAACAATTCGAAAGAATAATTGCCCAGGGTTTATTCCAATTATTAACCCTTTAACCTGTAACAACGAGTCAGACTCGTCACAAAAATTTTAGTCAAGATGTATCAAAAATAGTTGTATCAATAAGAGAATTACTGAGAATTACTAAGCATAATTAATCTACAACGGATTAACTTCTGTTACCTGATAAAAGTGCTGAAACACTAAATGAGTGACGCTTAGATGCGTAGTCAAAAAAGAAACAGTAACAGATGTAACTCGAAAATTTAACGATCTCCGTTACTTACGATTCCTGTATATAACATCCAATTATCCCAAAAATAATAATTCTCATTTCAGGGAATTTCCCATCAATTCCTCGATTTTCCTTCAACGTTCGTTTAAACGAAAGGAATGGCGATTGGTAGTAAACGTCAGTGGCAACGGGTCCGTCATACGTCATACGCCTGGTCAGAGATTGGTCGAGGAGGAACGGGCGGAACAGATTTTTCGTTGAAGCAAAAGCATATATATATATATATAGATGGTGGACGGGCAAATAATAGAAAAGCCGTGGCAATCGTCTTTCGTCAGCATTGACAGAGACGTATTGGATTTTTATTGGGTTTCGGCCAATCAATGCGGCGAACGCGTGTCGCCTATTCCTCCAGATCGGTGGAAACATAATGGAAAATCAGCGCGTGGCCGATCGACGGGAAACCTCGTTCCTCTTTTCAGCCTTTTTCTTCCTTCTTCTCGTCATTCATCCTGTTCCCTTCTTCTTCTCGTCTTGACTTTTCTTGGGAACCGTTTAAACGATATTAACTGGAAATTCGGGATCAAGAGTGGGATTTTGGTACCGGAGGAACTTTTCTGTCTTTCTGTTGTTTGAACGACGTTAATTAGAAATTTAGGGCCGTGAATGGGAATTTGGTACAGGTGGAACCTCCCTCTTTCTTTCACTATTTCTCTTTTTCTCTTTTAAACAATATTAATTAGAAATTGTGGACCATGAATAGGAATTTGGTACAGGAAGAGCTCTCTCTTAATCTCTACCTATCTCTCTGTATTTCTTTTTTTCTCTTTGGTGTCCTCCAATTTTTCGAAACCTTTTAAACGACATTAATTAGCAATTTTGGACCATGAATGGGAATTTGGTACAGGAGGAATTTCTCTCCCCCTCTCTCTCTCTCTCTCTCTCTGGTGATCTCAAATTCTTTGGAACCTTTTAAACGATATTAATTAGAAATTTTGAACCAATTTTGAATTTGATACCGGAGGAACTTCTCTCTCTGGTCTTCTCAAATTCTTCGGAACCGTTTAAACGATATTAACCAGATATTTTAGGTCATGAATGGGAATTCGGTGCAGGAGGATCTTCTCTCTCTTCCTCTCTCTGGTGTCCTCAAAGCGGATGCTACGTCTGCCAACAAGGCGTTTGCAAGGCTGAGTGGAAACTTCTTGGAACGTGTTCGACAACGAGGGCTGTTACTCCAGCAGTATCCTGAAATATTTTATTAGCGGGTCTGGCCCGTATAGGCTCACGGAAAAGGACCCTGAGTGCAATGTCGTATTGAAGGAAATTTAGGATAGTCGAGCCCTAGAAAGTGGCTAAGGTCCTCGGTTTATTTAAGGGGATCTGTTTAGCGTTCTGGGTAGAGCCGTGTTCGTTCCTTACGCTATGTGACTCCACTTTAAGCATCTGCATTTCGAGAAACCTATTTTTGGGAATGTCCTTTAAGTTGGAAAAAGAAACATCGCACAAATTTACATAATTTTCTATTTATTTCCTGAAACAATACAGTGTAGAATTTTGAAAAGTATCAAATATATAACAAAATAGTTCGATGTACATATATCTCTAACGAATTCGTCAATTTCTGATTACAGGTGCTACCTTGTTGTTCGACGTCGAACTGATCAACATCAGCGACTCGCCGCCAACGGCAAACGTGTTCAAGGAGATCGACAACAACCATGACAACCAACTGTCCCGCGAGGAGGTGAGAGCAATGGCAAGATCACTTCCAATTTTTTTCTAAGGGTCGTTCGTGGTGATAGCTTTAACATCGGTGTAATTTCGATACCTAACAAATTACACTTTTCTAACATTTTCTCGAAGAACGAGAATTAAAAACTTGCACGCTAAAAGTAGACGCACTCAACTATCAATTACTAACGAGTGTGAAAGATCCTGGAAAAACAACGATCGAAAGTAGCATCGTTGATAAATAACCGCGAAAAAGTAAAATCCTCTCGCGTCGTCGCAGCGTTCATTTTTTTTTTTTCCTTCCCATTCGAAATTCGCTATTTGACGGAAAAATCGTTCTGACAGTTTCATTCATCTCATAAAATTTGTATGGATCAAAGCGTAGACCAATCACGACATCGTTGCCTGCCAGCTTTATCTCTGGCCTGCAAGTGCAAAGGATTAACATGTACACGCTGTACCGTGGAAAACGTTCGCAACGCTTTTTTGTCCTCTCTCTCTCTCCGAGCAACTCTTTTCAGCATGTAACAAACACGCGCGACTAATCCTTTGCCATTTTGTTTTTATCGTCATCCGTATACCGATACGCTTTAATCATTTTAAAATATTGTGCGACTGACAATTTTTTAGCCGTGAATGTATTGCGTGGAAGTACATTTAAAAACGTAGTTTCCAGTTTGCTCTCTCGTTCAACTTTTTCGGGGGCTTGCTACCAGAAGAAGAGAACTTTAAATAAATAAACACACGTCCGTGTGCTTGCAAATTTATACGCTTGCTCTACTTGCAGTAGACTTGGAAATTTATCGTTGGCGCAGAATTGATCCTTGCACGCCAGGTTTTTGAAACAGGTTGAATCCTTCGAGTGTGACAAATTCATTTTTCATAATCTGCTGTTGTATGGTTGTAAATTATTTGAACAATTTATCGGCATTTTCATCTCTGCACGAAATGTAACTTCAAAGCTCTATTTTTCACTCGAGGCTGGTTTTGCGTATTAGGTCATTCCGCAAGTTCGTGTCGAATTTTTTAATTTAGATTAATATTTCCAGCGAACCTTTAAATTTGATTAAAAAGACAAACACAAGCGCCTTAAAATTTCACAATTTTTTTTTTTTAAGACCGTTATGTCGTCGCTATAGAATTTCCTTTTTCGCCTTCGGCACGAACTTCTGCGATGACCTAACACCCACGTCACTCAGCATAAAAATACGTTTCGCATGGAAGAAAGAACACACAACACCGTCAACTCACACGAACTCAACTAACAAACAAAAAAAATAACCGAAGAAAACTCTAACCAGTAGTAACGATAAACGATCGAAGAGGCAATAGTTAAACTGACCGATCTGTTAACATAGGTGAGCGAGTACCTGAGGAAACAAATGCTCGACGCTGAACAGGGGAGCGCCGGCGGTAACGAGGAAGTGAAGAAGATGCTTGCGGACAACGACAAGCTGGTCGAGGAGATTTTCCAGCACGAGGACAAGGACAAGAACGGCTTCATCTCCCACGACGAGTTCAGTGGGCCGAAGCACGACGAGCTCTGAAGTCATCGTGCCGCGTCGCCGCGTCTCCGAGCACCGCGTCGCCGTCGGCGTCGTGTCTAGTGCCACCACGTGTTCACAGCCGCACAGAATCGCCTCTTCGAGTCCTGTCCGGTTCGCGACGAACACCGTTGAACACAGAAACCGCAGCCAGCAGCAACCACTGTGCGTGTGTGTCACTCGATCTGTTTGTCTGTCCGCCCGCGTGGGCATGCGTGTGTGTCGTCGCGGAGTTGTCCGCTTAATGAACACGCGCGCGCGGTGCACGCGAATCTCTCGAGAGCTCGGGGAAGAAGAAGAACGAAGGAGAAGGGAGGGAAAAGCCGAGGAACGCGGACGGATCTCTTCTTCGCCGGGGAATTTCACTCGTGATGAAAGGAAGGCTGGGCCAGTGCTGGTCGAAGGAACTTCGATCCGGCGGGAACTCCGCGCGGGAAACACCGTTCGAATGGGGAAATTGATAAACGCGTGTCGAGAGAGAGAGAGAGTGAAGGGGAAGAGAAAGGGGCAGCTCGTCTCGTGGAGATTCCTCCGTGAAGCTCGGGAACTTCTTCGATCCGGGAAGCTATGAGAGCTATTCTGGAACAATTTGAGATTCGTGGAGACGAATCTAGGACGGTCGTGTACTCTTCGAGAGAACAACCGTCTTTGGAAGAATATTGAGCAGGTCCCCGAGACTGAATGTTTCTTCGTGTGTGAAAGGAGGAGGAGCTCTCTGAGGAGAAAGAAATTTTTTCGGAGGCTCTCGTGATTTCTGATCGAAGATACAGTTCCCTTAACGGTTTCATTTTGTCAACTGGAAGACGTGCACCTACTTGAGCATACTTCACGAGGAATTATTCTCGTAGACGATGGTGAAACGTCCGGTTGAATCATCGATATCTCGGTGCGACAGCGAGGTTGTTCAACGTAATATAATTGTATAAATCTAGATAGAGAGAGAGAGAGAGCGAGTGAAAGAGAGAGAGAGTTAAAAAGAAAGAAAGAGACGGGTGATCATGTGTAAAAGACAGAGAGAAAGTGTTTTTTCTACACGACTATAGATGTTAGCGTATTAATTAAGCGCATCGGCGTAACGGTGCTAAAGGTTCACACACACACACACATACATATACAGACACGCGAAAATGTTCTATCCCTCTCTCGAAAGCTTCTTCCTTTTTATTCAACTGCCACACCTCCCGCCCCTCTTATCTTCTCCTTTACGCTGTAATTAATACAGACGCGCACACACACACATATACATATGAAAACACGTACACACATACGTATACCGTTTTTCACGAGCATTAACAAGACACAACCACCGGCATTCTCGGCCACGAATTTCACGCGAGAGACGTAATCCAGGACTGGCGGAGGAACTCGACGGAGGAAAAGCCGCGGGGAGGAACTTATTGCGAGGATGCGTGGTGGAGATGAATGGCGGTCGCGATCGACGCGATCTTTTTTTCCACTCATGATCGACGCTATCATTATTACACTTTTAACTGATACGTTTTTATTACCACATTATATTGTATGTTGTTAAAGTTGGACGAAGGTTAATAATAAATCGTGTGTCTCGAACACAGTTTGTTATATAAGGCGGTTTTATTCGATTCGCACGCTTTCTTCAACCCTTTCCCTCATCCTTGATAGCGAAATGGATATATTTAATTTTTTACAGATAAGTTTCTTGGAATTCTTCCAGTGATTATACTTAAATATTCTTTCTTTTTCTTTGATAGTTGCTTGGGAAAAAATGTTTGGGAAGGTTGAAGGATTTTTATTTAAATTCGTTTTCTTCAACTTTGCTAGTGAAATGGGTATTTAACTTTTGACACGTTCATTTCTTCGAATTTCATTTTTAACGATATACTTCTTCGAGCAATTGTACGTAAATATTCCTTCTTTTTCTTTGATAGTTGATTAAAAAGAAACGTTTGGGAAGGTTGAAAGATTTTTATTCAAATTCGTCTAGGTGGATTTTTCAACGATACAAAACGGACGACGAGGGGAAGAATAGGGAAACATAGAATTAACGAAACGATCGGTTATTGCTGCTTTGAATTTTATTTCAAGAATCATTTCCGCAGAAAATTACAATAATTGCGCGCCGGTGCAACTGTACAGCGGTAGCGCGAGTTAATAACGTGTTCACACCGTTTACGCGTTCTCGTCGTCTAGGTATTCGGTAAATTCACTACCTAATATGTACGTATCGTTAGAAATAAAATCGCGTTCGATCGGCGTGAGAACTGCTCGCGGTTCACAACGCCGTCCTTCTTCCATTCTCGTCGAAAACAAAAACGAAGAAAAAAGAAAATACGCGCGAACGAATATTCTGTTTCAACGCTCGCGGAATATATTCCGTTGAATTTCTCGTTCGGGACTTTCTTAAAAATCTTAAGAGAGAGAGATATACACCGAGAGTTTTATTCATCGACGGATCAGTAGTCGTTTTGAGGCACGTTTCGATAAGATTGTCCGGTAATATTATCATCCCTGTCGTTCGAACTTTCGGAACGGTGAAAGAAGAAGCTTCTCAGCGGGGAAATTCAATAAACTTCCCGTTCTGTGCATGCTGCAAATGTGAATTGCGCCGAGAAAACGCGCCGCGTCCCTCTTTGCATACGAGCATTTATTCCTCAGGAAACTGTCACCGCGCAAGATGCATCTTCAAAGTTTCCCACCTCTCCTTCGTTTTTCCCTCTCCTTTTCTATCTTTCCCTCGTTTCTGTTTTTCTTTTTCCTTTTTTTTTTTGCCGGTACTCTCTTCTAGCGTCGAGAAGATGGAGAGGATATAAGTTTCAAAGTTGTCGCATTCGCATCGCGACGGCGAAAAGCTGACCCGTAAGCTCGTCTCGTCCCCGCCGCTTCCGTGCAGCCGTACGAAACGAGATTTCGCGAAATAAGTCGCCTGACTGATCACCCTAACCTGCTTCCCTCCTACTGCTTGTGTTCGTCGGTCATTTTTCGGGACAGAGAGGAGGCTGACCGAGTGCATAAAATATTCCTCACGACGCTGCTTTCGTTTTCTTCAAAGATGCGATTAAAATTGAGCAATTAGCTTAGGTATCAATTCTTAGGTATGTTAATTTGTAAAAAATTACGTTTCGTAGATGATACATTTTTTGTTTTTAATCTATAAATGCTCGTATACGAAGTGTGTTGGCTTTCCGGCGATTAGATTCATTTTCGAGACTGCTGAGAAGCTTCTTTCGACTTCGATTAACATTACTTCTAGGTATATACAACTATTTTAAAATATCTCTACACCGTTCTTATAGGATTCACGCGTTACATACGCGTTTCTAGAAAAAAAAGTGGAATAAAATATTTCTCGCTTAATAGATTTAAATGAAAAACTGATAGAAAGCTCTTTCTCGTCCTTGTCGACCATTTTTCAAATTAGTACGATTCGACATCTTCCAAAATACTGTCAAAAAATATCCTGCACGTATAAATTACAAATTCGTCATACTGTGTCGAAGCAAAACTTGTTAATTATTTATAATTTCACCGACGTTTAGGTAACTATACTATTTAATTTCGTTTTCTCACACGCGAGAAGAAAGTACGAACGACAAGGTGCGCGATAAGGTCTAGAAATGGAAGGCCTCGAGTATCGTCTGTTCGACGACGAATTTCATAGAAAACAACAGCTTTCTGCCAGCATACAGAAAGTTCGATCGAAATATATATATATATATATATGTGTGTGTATATATAATTCTTTTTTAACGCATAACCTTGGTGTATGTTTTGCGATTCCCCCGGGGGAGTGTTGGCATTCATTCATGTTCGTCGCGTTCGTAGGTTGTGCCTCCGTGAAATCGCAATGTCCTGGCCGTGTCATCAACGTCCGATCGAGGGTTCGATGATCGTGCTATTATCCTTCCTCTCTTCTCGTGGACGAGTTACGGGGTTCGAGTTTTATCACAGTCAGTAGCCCTTGATGTAGGCGGCAATGTGCTTCTTCTCCTCTTCCGAGAGGCCGTTCTTCAGCGTTCTACGCACTGGACATTGTATAAAATTTGTATTGTACTTCGGGAGAAATGGTACTGTCGGTGATTAGGTTAGAAATGCAGGCAGTCTTGGAGCTTCGAACATTTCGTGCAATGAATAATTTCGAAGAATGGGAAAAGTGTCGTTTATAGGCATTAGAATTCCGAAATTAATTTCGCTCGTTTTCTCATGTGAGAGAAATATCACATTTCGAAAATATTCATTTTATTACTTGGAATACCTTCTATCATCGTTAGGAATGTCAGAAGTTGAAGTGTAATACTTCAAGTGGGTAAATTATATTAAACTTTTGTTTTGTTTCATAAACTATAATTAAGTGATTCTCTTTCTCGCTGTCTTCAAAAATTTCGTATTTTCGACTTGTGACAATTTCCTCACGGAAGTGCACGACGTGATTCCAGAGTGAACAATTTTGTAATCGTTGTTTAGGTTTCTTTTGACACTTATGAACAACAGCGTATACCAATGAAATATCTGACAAATCCAAGATTGTTTCCACGCGAAATGTTCGACTGCTCGATATAAAACACAAAGTATCGTACATGTCACTAAAAAATAATCATTCCAACACACAGCTTTGCATGCGAGAAAGTAAAGAGAATGCGTAACGACTAAGTGAAAAATACGTTGCAAAATTATTTACACTGTTAGTCGATGGTGTTCGATTTCCAAGTATCTTCTCTGATCAAATACTCGGTTATTCGTAATACCTACGTGTCTTCGATGACAAATCGTGATAAATGCACGCTGAAAAATTATTTTATTCTTTCATACCTCAGCTTTTCAGCTAACGAACGCTGAAAACGTTAACGCCGCGTCTTAACGTTGCACGGGAGGGTTAGTGTGCTGGAAGTTTCATACGTTTTCAGACAATGATTGATCAAGCGGAAATTGATTCACTGTGTTAGCGTGAATGGCATTTGTTATTAACATGACGCGTACCTGCAGCTAACATAATAAATGAACGGCTCGGCACTTGCATATATAATTATGAATGGTGGTTAATGGATTTGGAAAATTATCGAGCGCGTTCGTGGCTTTTCAATGGAATAATTCTGAAATTCAAAGCTGACGATCGGTATTACCGAAATGTTATTTGAAACGTTTAATGTTTTATCAAAAACATACAGTTTTCTCGTACATTGAGACATAATATTCAATCACATTAATATTATAAATTTTTAAATCTCAATTACCCTTATTATAGAGATTTTTAATTTACCGAACAGTTTCACCGATAATATCGACAATTTCAATGATGATATCACGTCTATAATTTTCGAGTTAATGCAGCGTATCCTAACTAAACTTCCGGGAATTTCAATCAACGTTAAATCTATTTCGCTAATGTTTGCGTTTTTAGTTATCAGAGGAATTGAAGGAAGCAGCGTGTCTAAGGCTATCGATCCTAATTTAATCACGATTTTACTTATTCCTTCTAGTTTCACGGCACTTTGCTTAATTTGAACGAAACGCCATGGATTCGAGTCTGAATCGGCTTTAAATGTTTCTCTTAAAAAGAACCTTATCTTCACTGCCGTTGAATTACGTTAGCTTTAACGAAAATTTACGTGTACACTTGCTCTGTAAAATTCTAAACAAGACTTGGTTCGCAAAAAAAAAAAAGTCGCAAGCAATCTGCCCAATCAACACTGGCTGCTTTCGGACCTCTTCGATTCTCGATGCATTCCAAACACACGCGAAATCGGAGAAATTCGCGACGCGATGAAATAACACGGAGAAACTAATGGAACGAGGAAAGGAAACATGGCGAGAAGGAACGGTCGACGAAAATCCGGACTTGGGGATTTATTCGAGCTCGTTAACGAACCGGAAGTGGCCACGAGGGCATTGTATTCTCTGATAATTAGGGCATCGTTATCGACCGTAAACACTGGCTTGATATCCTGATACATTGCTAAGAACGTGTTTCGTTGGTTTCGTTTCTCTTTGAGGAAAGTTCGTGGAAGCACTGGCCAATAATAACGAGGGTAAATATCGTGTTGATTTTGAGCGGATAGAGTTGGAAGATGCGAGCAATTAGAGAAGTTTTTCTTTCTCGTTAGAACGATACGGTAACCGAAATTGTTATTTCGAAGGGAAGATTTCTTATATCAATTGAAAGGTGCAAGCGAAAAATTCACAGGGTTCGAAAAATGAAACTTTGTAGGAGGAGGAAAATAGTAAACTTTGAAACGTTAAAAGTTAGATATTTTTGTATTTTTCACAGAGAAAATATTTTTGAAATTTTAGGTTCTATGATTTCTGTTTTCCCCTGAAATTTCAACAATTTGCACAATTAACTGTTTAATTAAGTAATCACTCGACTGTGTATTCAAATTCTTAAATTTCCACTAATTTGTTTTCCATAAAATCTCATTTTTACATTTTTTGAACTCTGTTACTTTCTCCCAGTACCTTTCAATTGTAAGTTAAACAGAGGAAGCTTTTATATTTTACAGTAGTGTTTACAGTGGTTCTTAAACTTTCACTAACTCGTTCCCTTTACCATGCTGAAATTGCCTACGAAAGCAGCGCAACGAATAATCTAATTTTGACATTTTTCAAACTCCCTGTTAATTTTTCCCTTCAATTGCGAATTAAACAGAGGAAGCTTTCAAGCCTCGCGGTAATTTTCGCAACGGTTCCAAACTCCGCGTGTCACAACGAACGGAAGCAAAGCCAGAGGATCCAGAACGATTCACGCGACGGCGTCAATTCTTTTCGTAATCGTGGAATTCTCAGCGGTCAAATTGGCCGATTTTCCCGCGCCGTTGCCTCCCAATTTAATGTCGCAGCCGGGCAAATCGCTCGCGCCACGACTGTCTGGCAAACAGGACCTCGAACGCGACTGGTTCGATTTATTTG